TCACATGTATGAAGAAGTACATCAGTGCACAGGCCTATCCAACCCTATGTGCCCACATTTCTGTTCAGTCCCTGATGCCACAGAGGCTATCTGTTTGTGATGAGTCCCATCATCTTTCCTCTCTGGAAAGGGTTCAGCGAGTGAGCAGTTGCAGGGAGGAAACTGAATCGGTTCCTGCTTGGCACGTGGTTTTTGTCTAGACATATTTGCTTGCTGGGACAGGACTTACCCTCCACAGACCTGGGTGAAAGTGCTAAGCTGTCATGGCCTGTTGCCTAAGGCTTTGCAGTGACTCAGCCAACATTCTGGGGTGATGCACTGCACCCACCGGGGACTTAGAGACAAGTCCCCATCCCCGTGTAAAGGTCCCCTTCACAGGCATTGCAGGGAGACGGTTCCATCTGAGAAGGGAGGTCGAGCTTAGTTACTATGAAGTCAGCTATACCTTTGAACTTCTGTGGGAGAAGGTCACAGAGCTACGGGGCCTGCAACATCCATTCGCCGGATGAGGAAACTAGGCTCAGAGGGGAAGTGTCTGGCCTGAGGTCACAAGCTCATTCATCACTCATTCTTCAACCAAGGCTCAGCAAGCGCCTATTGTGCTGGCCGCTGCACTAAGCCTGGGAACGAATCAGCAGAAGGTGAAGCCATGGGTTCTGCTATTAAGACACTGGCCATCTAGCTGGGGAGATGGACATTTGGGCAGTCAACCACAATAAAACCAGGCTGAAGGCCACAGCAGGAAGACCATGCAAAGGGCCATGGGAGGAGGAGAAAGTCAGACAATTCTGTCTTCAGGGAAGAGGGAGGGGAAGGTGTGGTAGGTGAACAATGGTCCCCCGAAGATGTCTGTGTCCTAATCCCCAGGACCTGCTAATATGTCACCTTCCATGGCCAAACAGACTTTGCAGATGTGATGAAGTTAAAGACCTCAAGATGGGCAGATTCTCCTGGATTCACTGGACAGACCCAATGAGTCACCAGAGCCCTAAGAGGGAGGCAGAGAGTCGGAACCTCGGAAGATGTGGTGATGGAAGCAGAGGCCAGAGAAAATGAAAGAAAGATCTGAAGAGGGAGGAAGGCGCCATTGGCTAAAGAATGCAGGTAGCCTCCAGAAGCTGGAAAAGTCAAGGAAACAAATTCTCCCTCGAGCCTCCAGAAGGAACACAGCCTGCCAACACCTTAATCTTAGCCCGGTGAGACCTATTTTGTAATTCCCAACTCAAGAACTGCAAGAAAGTAAATCTGTGTTGTTTTAAGCCACTAGGCTGGAGGTGATTTGTTGCAGCAACAACATGGGAAACACAGAAGGTTCCACCAGCGATGGGGTGAAACCGAAGCCATGCTCCATCAAAGGGGGACCGCCGTCTAAAACAGCAGCTCAGGGTGTGGGGAATGTTGAGAAGCCTGGTGTGCTTGGAGGTGAGGTGTGTAGAGAGGAGGAGACCAGGCCCTGGGGTCTCACAGCACTGGCTCTGTCAACCACCTGCGGACAATCCTGTCTTCTCCACCCTCTCTGTGGTATTACATCCTTCGCATCCCTTCCTCGTCTCTTTAGAGAGGATGATCACGGGTACAGGGTAGAATGGGACTTTCAGGGGACTGAGGATGATCTGTGAAAAGCGCTTATCATCATGGCCGGCACACGGAGCTCTCAATACATGTTTGCAAATGTTACTTCTCTGTTAAGGTGATGGGGAGTCCAGGGAGGCCCGCTCAGATGATCAGGCAGAGGGGGAAATGGATTCTGGGGTTCTTGGCACCCGGGCAGTGGCCCTGTACCATCCTGTGCTACCTCCTCCAGCTGCTTCTCACCAACCCCAGGGGATGCTCCTGTGCTCTGTGTTTCAAGATCCATTCCATACAGCCACATTCAGAGAGGAGTGCTTGGCTTTTCCTGGGATTCGCTGGGACAGCCAGCCCTGGTTCTTGAGGGGAAGTTTCTGCCACAAGACACAAATAAAGGAGAGGCCGCGGGCTCTGGCTTAGGCCACGAACGCCACCACTGCACAGCTCCAGGAGAGCACTGAGTCACTGTGTCACCTGCGGGGCCACGGCCCACCACCTGGCCCCTCCCCCGGCGAACACAGGGTGCTCACATGGCCTCTGGGTTGCCCAGACCCATTTCCAGCTCAGGCCGGGCTTGAGCTTTGCATGTCTTCCTTACACTCAAAGCCAGGATGACAGCTCTTGTGATGGGCAATCACCCACTGCCTTCTCTCCTCCACGCTGAGCACTCTTGAGCTCTCGGGCTGACGAGCCACCGCGTCTTGCCCTGGCCTCTCTGATGGTGTCTGTGAAGGGGATCGCTCCGTGTTGTGATGCCAAGCCTGTCAGGACCACAGGCTCCTGAGTACTAGGCCGGCTGTTAGGCATTTGGAGAAAAATAGTAAATAAGACCAAACCCCTGCCCTCATGTGTCCACAGCTAAGTAGGCCAAAAACAGGGAAAGGTATGTATCAACCCTTTCCAAACCGTCTTTACATTGTCAAACAGGCTTTTAAACTTGAAGCAATGGGGGTTCCTGGGTGGTTCAGTCAGTTAAGTGTCTGACTTCAGCTCAGGTCATGATCCCAGGGTCCTGGCACACATCAGCCCCGCACTGGGCTCCCTGCTCAGCAGGGAATCTGCTTCTCCCTCACCCTCTACCGCTCCCCCCGCTTGTGCTCTCTCTCTCTCTCTGTGTGTGTCAAATAAATATATAAAATCTTAAAACAAACAAACAAAAACCAAAAAACTCAAAAGCAATGACCAGATCAGCCCAAAGGGTAGGGAAGGGCCCTGTGACACCCTTAAATGATGCTCCTTAGGCAGTTGTCTATGCTGTTCTGCCTCAGGTTAACCCTGGCTGGCCCTCAGCTCCAGCGACTACCCTTCCTTGCCCAGTGCACAGGGCAAAACTCTGGAGTCAGGGGTCATGTGGGGACAGCCATTGACCAGTTCTGACCTTGGATGCCTTGGCTCATCTCTCTGGAGTCTCAGTTACCTCGTCTGTAAAATGGCTCCGTGTGTCTAAAAGGAGCCAACAGGTAAACGATCTAAAATGGTGTGAGCACCGAGTCGGGGCTTTACAAACGCTAGTACCAAATTCCTGTCCTGAGCTACAGTCAGCCAGAGCCAAACAGGATGGAAGTCAGACCCCTCGCTTCCCTCCTTGAAAACAAACCGGGTCCTCCCGGACACCGTCTCACTGCACACGGAGAGGGCTCTGGGATATGCAAGAGGACAGTTATGAAGGACTCCCTGCACCTCTTCAAGTTGGGGGTGCAAGAGACTAACGAAGGCAGCATAGCACGGAGAGGGGAACACACCAGCGGGCCAGGGGGCCGGCGGCCTGCCGAGAGCACAGCTCAGAAGGGCCCAGTCTGCAAAGGGTGACCTCTCCCTGCAAACACCGGACCCCTGCTGTCACCAATGACAGCTGCCCCCATGAACGGTTTGCTCCCACAATTTCGCTCCCCCCTGGCCTTGACTGGAACAAAAAGAAGAAGAAAGAAAGAAATGAATAAAGCCATCGAAACAGGCAGTCCCTTGGCAAGAAGCTCCAGACGCGACCTTCTCCGTGGCGCCCGCTCGGATGGCCCCGGCCCCCGCCCCCTCCCTTGCCTCCGCAGCCCGCACCCAGCCCCGGCTGTGCCCTGTGTTCCCAGTGCTGTGCTGGCCGGCCATGCAAGCAACCAGACTGGGATGTCCTCGGGAGCAAGGGCCCTGCCTTACTCATCCCTCCGCCTTCAAGAGAATGTCCCTTGCAGTGTTCTCAAGGAAGACAGCCACCCACTGATTCTCGCTTTTTGTTGATTAAAACACACATTTACTTACTCTGAGCTAGACTGCCTGAGAGGCGCCGGTGAGACAGGGAGAGCAACACGTATGTCACCTATGGTCCCTGTCCCCGGGGGGACTTTACAGTCTCAAGGGAGACACACATCTGCTACGTCAGCACAGGGTGACAAATGCCATTAGAAGGAGTGCGAGAGGCTGTATCGTTGGGAGACATGGGGCCGCAGTTAGGCTTAGAAGGGAGGAAAGGCCGAGGGTGCGTCTAGATCTCTGGATTGTTCATGAGTCCTATCGTCAGTGGGACAAGGATTACACAAACAACACAGCCCATGTGTGGGCTGCCGAAACATCCAGCCGTTACTGTGCTCTGGGATTCCCACGGGCCTGGCGTGAGCTCCCCTGAGTGGGGCCCAGGGAGGCACAGGATCAGAGCAGGCGCTCCTCACGGTTGCTGAATAAGCCCCTCAGAACTTTTCACAGGCAAGTAAAACAGAGATTCTTGAGGAGATGGAGGCTCAGGGAGGTGAGATGCCTTGTGCCGCACTCACTGAGAGTCAGGGATGAAGTGTGAGAAAAGGGTAACCCGGTTACCTGGGGCAAATGAGAACCTGGCCCATCCCAAAGCCATTCTCTAGGCCCTTCTCTTGATGGACAAGGCCCTTCAGGCTAGCCAGGGGACGGCTTAGCCTTGACCTAACCCCCTCTTTTCTAGCCAACACCAGGTTTAGAGTCTGACCAAGTCACCCTAAAGGTCACAGTGGGAAGGGTAGAAGTTTCCCAAGAAGCTGAGTTCTAGTGAATTTAAGTGTCCACTAAAGCAGCATGTGAGCACCAGATGAGTCAGGGACCCAGACTCCGCTAGTCATTTGACATGTGACCTGGGGCAAGCTACTTCCCCTCTCAAACCCTAAATGTCCTCATCAGTAAAGTGAGCAAGGTGGACATCTAAGATCTCTTCCAGCTGCAATGTTTTATGAGCCGTGATGAGAGAGAAGAGGACTTTCAGATTCTGCTGAAGGAAAACTCACAGGCTGCAAGGAAACAGAAAGTACTGTCCTTTTACTGAAGGGGCCCTGGGGTGGGGTGACCTCTGATACACCGGGCAGAGAAAAGGATCGAGAGCTCGCTAGCTTTGGTTGCTGAGCTGGAAACATGGAACAAGCAAGCCATCCGGGGTGTCCCGGGCTTTGCTTGTGGACTGAGAACAAGATGCTACTCACTATGCAGCAGGCCACCAGGGCTCCTTGAGCAAATCCTGCCAGCACATCACTGGGATGGTGCTTGTGGTCGGACACACGCGACAGTCCCGTGTAGAAGGCCATCATGATCAGGGTGAACTGCAGGAGGGGCCGGAGCAGGCGGGCCCCTCGCCAAGTGAAGCGGGCCTGCAGGTACAGCTGGAGAGAGGAGAGAAAAGGAACAGAAACTTAAGTGCATTAGAACACCAGGTCCGCCCCCACTCCATTTCCACTAAATGGAACCATCTGGACCGTCGGTGGCATGGTGCACAAAGAGCATTCAACCTGGATATGACCTCAAGTCAGTTACTTAAACCTGGAGCCTTAGTCCCCATATTAAAAAAAAAAAAAAAAAAAATTAGAAAAATGAGAAGAGCTGAGGAATGCCTTAGAGCCCACTGCCTGGCACATTCTAGACACTTCATAAACGTGTGTTCCCTTTTATCTTCTTCATGATTGAAACAAACGAAAGCGTAGTAACCAGGGGAGTAAAGGTTTCTTTTCTGCAATCCATGACAACTCATGAACTGCATTTGTGTGTTTCCTGGAGATCAGGGCAGCACCATCCCTATACTACGTGCTGCTTAGGACCTTCTTAGAAATAAAATGTAGGATCGACAGGAGAGGTTCTCGTGATAGTCACAAGGGGATGTTTCTGCTTCAACAGAAAGCACCTTTACCAAAGAACACGTTTCTAAGACACCACTCCCAACTATGGATTTTTGCATTCGCATATAAGGAAACACATAAACCAACCAGACAATGCCGGAGCGCTTTCACACAGAGGCTGACAGACACTGGGCTGGGTGGAGTAGAAGAGTAACCTGAAGAAAAATGGAAGAAAAAAAAAAAACCACCTCTGGCCGAAGCAAAGAAGTTGAAATGACGTCAACTGAGCATTGTCCCTCAGAGTTATCTTGCTGCAGTTTCCGTTCTAACCTCTGGGCACAACCTACTTCCCAGGTTCCTGTGGGAACTTGGGAAAGGAGGGGGAAAAGGCAACTGGACAAGGGGAACTTCCGACGACCAATCAAAGGCAGGCACTGGGGGAGACCAGGAGAAAGGGGAAGAGAGCGGAGAGGAGGAGCTGATGGCTCGAAGATAGACCTGGGACAGAGGCAGAGGCAGGCCTCAGCCCTTCCTGAGACAAAGGGACACCTTCCTTCTGGCGGACAGGAAGGAGCAAGTCAGTGACTGGTCCTGAGGCGAAAGACAAGTGGAAGTTTCCGGAGCCACCCTTGCTAATCACGGCTCATAAAACATTGCAGCTGGAAGAGATCTTAGATGTCCACCTTGCTCACTTTCCTAATGAAGACATTTAGGGTTTGAGAGGGGAAGAAACTTGCCCCAGGTCACATGTCAAGCGACTAGCTAGGGGGAAGACTGCCTAGCACTGACTCCTCAAACTACCTGGAAGACGATTTCCAAACCCAGGCCTACACAACAGCAGACAACTTTATAATCATTACGCAAGTCTATGAATGCATTCTTGGGCAATCTAAGAATAACAAATGAAAAATAATAATAAAGAATGCACTGATGTTGGCTGCTAAACAAGCGATAAAGGTCAACAGTTCCTCCTATGTAAAACATAACCAGTTAAAAATCTACAAGAAGAGGTAAAATCCTCACAGCAGCCGACGTGATTCTATAAACAGTAATTAGCTTACCAAGAACTACACGGGACCCTGTATGAAGTAAGGGACATAAAGGACAAGTTGAACAGAGAGCTAGAATTTTTATTTATAAACACTCAACTTAAAAGCTCTTAAAGTTGATACATAAATCCCATCAGATTCCTAGGGACATCCTAAAAAGATCTGGAGGAAAAGACTTGAAAGAAATTATGCTAAAAATCATCTAAAAGGCCAAAGCTGTACAACTAGCCAGAAAACCAATCAACCAACAAATAAGCCAGGCACTCCAACAGATGCTAAGGACACAGAAGTGGGAAGCTATAATTCCTGCCCTACAGAGCGTTCATTCACTGGGGGAATCCATGAAAACAAGCAAGGGCACTTACTGGTTTCCTAGGAATTACGAAGAAAATTGGGGAACCAAGGTCAGTTACAGGGGAACGGGCACTTGACTTGAGTCCTAAAGATGAATCTGCATTTGCTAGGAGTTGAGGGGACAGCAGTGAGGGGTGTGTATTCCAGGCAGAGCAATGGCCTAGAAAGAAGCCAGAGTTCTGGAGAACCTCACAGCTTTCAGTACAGCTCTTCAGGGTGGGGGTGGGGGAAACTGATAACCACAGGGCTACAGAGGCAAGGGGGGGCTCAGGAAGGGTGTGGATATCAAACTAAGGAACCTGGCTTTTACTTAGCAGGTCAGTCTTTCTCAAACCATACTCCATGGAACACTAACGGTCTTTTAACCAAAGATGGTAAATGCTCTATAGGAAATCCTTAATACTACTGACAATACACGACGTTTACAGAGTATCTATCTATTGAATCAAAATTGGGAAACATTACTGTAAGCAAAGGTGAAAAATTAAAATGATTTTAAGCAAGGCCCTCAGTACCATAAAAAATAACCTGTAGGTCAAAGGCTACCCCTCGTTTGCGCAGAAATGAGCCAGCAGTGGATTCTGCAATCGTGAATCAAAAGATCCTCTCCTTCCGGGAGCGGGGATGGGATGATGCTGGGGTAGCTCCCGCTTAACACAAGTCTCGGGGCAAAAGCAACAGTCTGTTTGCATTGTGCCTACCGTGATCTGGCCTTCCTCCAGCATTTTGGCAGTAGGCAAGGGCCGGGTCGGGGACAGAAAGAACACCAGGTGCTCATCAGAAAAATCTCACCAAACCTTAGGTCTTCTCACAAATACAATAATCTGCAGATCCTCAGAAAAGGCTTGTTTAAAATCCTCCGACTCCCCCCCCCCCCCCCCGCGCAGAGTTTAGGTCATGGGCCTTGGAAATCAGGGTGGGGCAGAGGAAGGGTGGGTTTCCCAACCGGACACGGCACACATCTCCCCTTCCACTGACTCAGATACTAAAGGCTGGAGCTTAAGAAAAGAAAAAAAAAATAAATACAGGAGAGGACCCTTGAGGAGAGAGGAAGAGACCAGTCACCAGGAGAGCTTCAGGAAGGGAGTGCTTATGAATGAGAACGGAGCAGGGGCCACGGGCAAAGAATGCCCTGCAGAAGCAGTCAGATATGGAATGGCCAGCAGCACGCTGAAGCCTGCTCCTCACTACCCATCAGCAACCAACACGTTGATCCAGGTCAAGGTCTCAGGACTGACCTTGGCGTCTGCAGCTGGGGCTTCAGGGGGGAAGCAGAGAAGCAAGAGCAGCATGAATTTGGCAGGGTGTGGGGGGTGGGGGGGGAAGCAGCCCTGACTCTATCACTTCCTAAGTTGGGTGGTCCCTCAACTTCTCATCTGGGAAACAGGTACAAGAGTATCTCTTTCTCTGGGTTGCCAGGATCAAATGAGACACACAGGACTGGGCACTCAGGGTGCTCTTAGGAAATCTGTATCACCCTTTGCCCTGGTGAATGAGATTTACTCATTGACTGTGCTTGATTTCACCAAAACAAGAAGATTACTAAAGCAAAAGATTGCACAATGACCTTCCACATCGTGCCTACTTCTGATCTGAGAAGCTGGTCGCAATAGGCTTTGAGGTTGACCAAAGGATCTGGTAAGTCCTTCCGTGCCCCACCAATCCTACTGCTAAATGGATTGGCTTTTGCTGGTTCATAGCTCAGTTCTTGTGAGGCTCTCCGTACCAGAGGCTTGGGCCTCACTGTGACCAGAGAGAACTTTCTGGAGCACCCTGCTCCCTTGGAAACCTGCACCTGGGGACAGGACAAGGGGCAGGAGACTGCATTCGTTCCCATTGCATAGGAGGAAGTCACACTCCGGACCACAACTATACTGTGGCCCTTGTCCTGGACCAAATAGTAAGGAGACTTGCCTGGAATCAGAATTTCTGCAGGGCCTCAGGAAAAGTCCTAGGCATCCTGCAAAGGGTGGTTAGGAAAGAGCTAAGCAGAGCTGGACAAAACCAGAAAGGCTGAGTCGCCTTGACCTCTCACAGAGGTCAACAGCCCTGAGGTCCTGACTTATCTGTCTTTACTTTCCCATCTGCCTGAAGGTCTCTGGGCTGGCAGAATCCACTTCTAAGCGTCAGTGTGACATTGCAGAAAAGGGTCTGATTTCATCATAGCAAAACTAAATTTGAATCTTTGCTCCATGCCATCTGTAGGATGTCACCCTGCTTCTCTGAAGTTCTGCTTTCTCTTATGTAATGAGATTCGTTCATTTAAAAAATAAACCCAGGGGTGCCTGAGTGGCTCAGTCGTTGGGTGTCTGCCTTCAGCTCAGGTCATGATCCCAGGGTCCTGGGATCGAGCCCCGCATCGGGCTCCCTGCTCGGCGGGAAGCCTGCTTCTCCCTCTCCCACTCCCCCTGCTTGTGTTCCCTCTCTCGCTGTGTCTCTCTGTCAAATAAATAAATAAAATCTTTAAAAAAAAATAAAATAAAAAATAAACACCTGTCGCAAGCATCTATTCTGCTCAAAATTGTGAAAGACACACTTATAAAGTTAACTCCCTCCCTAAAAAAAAAAATATCAAAATTAAAAATGAAATCTCGCTCTTGTACTAAGATGTTTCTTCCAATTGCTAAAATAAAACGGCCGACTACAGACGGGAAGTTTACAACAGAAAGCTTCGTGTCCGCCCCTGAGCCCCCATCCCCAAAAGGAGGTATGTGAAAGTCCCCAGCACACGGAACTCACTCCGTAAATGGAGTTCCCTCCTCCTTCCTGGTCCTAGCTTCAAAACTGGGGTCCTGTGGAATTCCAACAAAACCTCTTTGGAGAGGTCTGGCTGGACTCAGGCCGGCTCCTCTGGTCTGAACCAGCAGAGTCAGATGTGGGGTGAGTCACACGGGGTTCTTGCTAAGTCATTTGTGTCTCATTACATGATTTGCATACTGGCGAAACAGGTCCCTACTGTTCTCTTACTTCATTTCCATTGCTCTTGGGACTGCTCTGCTCAGAGTGAAAAGGAGGCTTTTGTCCTTCCTTCTGTCCCTGCCTGCTCTCTCCCGGGAAGTCTGTCCAGATCACTGACACCCACAGGGAGGAACTTTCTCCCTTTTCTCATCTCCGCCACGGCTCACGCTTGGCTCTGGTTCATGTGCC